ATTACACGGCGGCGCGAAGATATGACTTTTATCTTCGAGTGGTGAAAACAATATTATACGAACAAGCACGAGTGAGTAAAATATTGTTTTTAACACGAGCCACCGTGTAATGTTCTGTTTATTATATAGTCCCAAGCAAAAAATTGTGAAATTTCACGCTCAAAAGCAAATTGGAAAGAGTCACGTGATCGATATCTTCACTAGTGAAGATATGGAAAATATCTCACTTTGTATTTTTCAGTATCTCACTCTCTACTATATAATAAAATAGTTTAAATGCAATGATAAATTACCTCTTGAATTACGTTTCAGAAACTGTGTTGGAAATTTAAATGCTGACCCATAAGATTACCGTTTTACATCGTTATATAACTGAAACATTTTGATCACATAGCTCAAAGCGGAGTACCCCGGGAGAACCCACGACTTTCTGTACAGTGTACGAATCCGTAGCGAGAATCAAACCCACGATCTCAGAGGTGAAAGGCCCTTACTCTAACGACTGCGCGGAAGCCCCGTGAAATTAGTGAAGATAAAATAGCAGTTTGTGAGAAAACTGCGGGTAAACTGCGGGTACCGTTCGGCATTGCACGCGTGTTCGAAAGTATAGTTCCCGTAAAAATATTTCAGTTCCAAGACTATACTAAATGAAAATAGTTTTCTAGGCAGTCGAAGTCACAGCAAACAACCTACGTCTGAAATTTAGGCTAAGCTAATCCATGCACGATAATCTTTTAAATAAACATTACATCATCCTTGATATATTGGCGATTATTTAAACTATCAAGCGGCATAAACAACGGAGAGCCTGAAGCGATATTCATATCAGACTTCGACCGTTGAAAAGACGAACTCTGAGAGTCGGAATGAAACGCATCGATCATGTGATCTCCATTGCCTTGATCCAAGAGCATCATGGTAATCTTCTTCTGAAATGGCCAGGTTTGAAGTGTGTCGTAGTCGCCTTTTGATAGCCGCAAAAAACAAAGATGATATATCAGAACATTATACAGGGCGGTATAAAAAAACTGCGCAGTTCGAAAATTGAATTGAAATTCGTGATGTCACGAATATATACAACGAATATAGTTAAGTACTTAAGTTTACTGCGTTTTTCTTCCATTCAGTCCATATATTTTTCACGTTCAAATACCATATTGAGATTCAGAATGCTTTTATTGTCTTTCAAACCTGCTTCTCCACGACAAAATATTCGAAGCAAATGTTGTTTGTCTTTGTAATCAAGAAATTGGCGCCACAACAATTGCATGCATGCTGTTGATATAATTGAAAGTTGTGCGCGTATTTCACCATCAAAAGGTTCATATGTTCCCAGAAAAGGACCAACAAATTTTTAGATATATCATCTTAGAGTGGCATTGTTGTATCATGCTAAACGTGGAAATATTTCGGATTCAGCGATGTGACGATGTCATAATTTTCAACAATGTCGAGACGCCATCAGTACGCTAAAAACATCATGCGTGTTCGTGAGTTTCCTACCGCGAGTGTGTTTATGATCCATGAACACAGCCAGCAACAAATTATTACCTTGTCATGGTTGCACCCTACAGCCTGGAATTCACATGTCGCCGGAACCTCGTCGCAATCGCGTCTCTCGTGGTTTTCGATGTCTTTTCTCAAGACGTCTTCCTTACAGTATTTACAAGTCAAGGGTGCGCCTTCACAGCTTGTACCAATATGTTCCTAGAAGAACAGTGCGTAAAACTGAGTAAACCGTACTAGTTCAAGGATAACTAAATGTGAATTGAATTGCAGGATTTTTCAAACTGTTCTCAAAAGTTACTTTATTTTTCCTTACCTTCATCAAGGCAAAGGTGACATCTTGCCCACAAAAATCACACTTCACATTCCGATATTCACATTCAATTTTCAAGTGTTCACCCTGATGAGAGCGTTGGAATTTCATCTTGCATTGGGAATGGATACAGTTTATCAAAGCATGTTCACAGACAGTAGAATGTCCCTATAAGTCACAAGAAATGGTTACTGATATTATAAGTTGAATTATTCAATCTGTACCTATATAACTATATAAGTGCCCTGGTTACCTAATATATACGCTTGTCCTAGTTCTGTTGCTGCTATGTGAATGAGAGTCAACGACTTTCTCAGCACGGAACGCTAGTCCACCCCAGGCACTATAAGCTCCCAACAGAAGCTCTCAACAGAAGAGTGAGCTGGGATAAAAGAGAATAAACTCTATTTGCATGAGAATTAATTCCATTGGGTTTCATATTTTCACCTTGACCCGCTTAAAGGACTGTCTATAAAGCAAGACATTTATAAACCGTATTAAAAACCTACTCATCGATTTAGTACGTTGCAATTATTTTTGTGGTTATATTATTTCTTTGATATCAGTTACACAAAGTGTGGTTGCTCAATTCACCCAAGCCAGGGGCTCATGGTGCTTGACAACTAAGGCATAAGGGTTAGGTTTTGGTGAAGTATGGAAACTGAAGGACTCGGAGAAAAAAACACTCGAAGTACAAGAGAAAATAACCATACCCCAACCTAAGTAACTACAGTCGCAAGCTTAGATCAGAGGCCAGAAACAGCGCGCTAACTAACCACAGATATACCATCCGTGATCCTCCACATTCCCCCTTCGTTCCTCCTCTTCATATAACTCACCTCCAGCGCTTCATAAGTGCCATACCAAAGACAGTCTTGGTTGGTACAATGCAAACATAATCCATTGAGCTCACGTTTAGTGAAAACATCGGGAAACACCTGAAAGAGATTAATAGGAACTTTAATTAAGCAAGCAGGACGGAAATGCGACGACAACGTGTTATCAGTCGAGCCAAACATTGGACTTATAGTGCTTGATGTAATGGGTGATTCGAGCTATAGACGAAATTTTGATCTAGACAAGAAGAACGAAAGTATCTTAAAATGAGTAAAATTGTAAAGTTTGGTTGCTCTGTGTTCGCAAGTTTTGTATATATTTGCATTACGCCGGAGGAAATAACCATTTTTGATCGGAAAGTCGTTATTTTTACCGCGCCTAATACAAATAGACCCTTTGCACTGACGTCACAAATCCTTAGTGTCCTCCAGATGCTCCCTAACAATATCTGTTCGGGTACAACGACCACATACAGCGCAAAAACTAACCATTTTGATACATTTGCTTTCGCCATTATACGCGGTGCGTTCGCCATTATACGCAGTGGTTCGAGCATTATACGCGGTGCTTTCGTCATTATACGGGGTGCTTTTAACATAATTTCCATATTCTTTCCATGTATATAATCTCACGATTGCTTAATAAATCTGGTAGGCCTATGTGGCTGTGCTTTTTGCCTCTGGTCTGCAATGACAATGACTGACATGCTTTTAAAAAGGTTTATTTATACAAAGGTGACTGCACTTTGTGAGTTCCTATATATTATCATATATATAGTGTTGATTTATTAGTAATAAATCTGTGCATATAACATAAGTATATAAATTAATATAACGCAGCAAATGCGCGCCAAGCAGTATAAGGGACGGACCATTATTTTTTTGGAGGGGGGGGATGGACATTTCGTCAACGCAAACAATTTTTTTTGGTGCTGTTGTCGTTGCAAACAATTTTTTTGTGCCTGCTTCCTTCTGCAAACAATTTTTTTGTCCATCTGATTGCTGTGGATTTCATTATAAATTGATATATATATATAGTTTAATTTGTGCCCGATTACACTATTGCATGTGTGATCAGGGCCGTAGGAAGCTCTTTTCGATTGGGGGG